CCTTAAAGTCTCTTATTATCGCATAGTACTGTACAAGTTTAATAGAGTATACGTGTAAAGATATAGATGATGTGGCTTATTGGTTAGGACTTTCAATCGCTATCGGCTAATGGATTTCAATCCAAGTAGCGTAAAGTAACATTTAGGTAGCTTTTCCGTGAATTTTGTGCCTAGCGAAGCTTTCTATAGGCTATGAAGCTTATAAATCTATTGGCCTCTGCGCTGAGGGTCGTGGGTTCGATTCCCACATGGGACAAGCATTTTTGTAAATCGCAGATAAATGTTTCGGATCTGGGTGTTTGTTTCCACGGCGGGCCGCCGGTCGAAAAGAATCTAGCCAGTAACTTACGATATGATACACATTTTATGCCAACCCCACTCATAGGCATATTTTTTAATTCAAGCAACATTTTTCAAATTAATCTTTCAACAAAAATAGTAATCACATTAAAATTTGTAGAAAAATATTAATCAAATTTCGGGAATCGTTTTCCCGAAATTTGATTCTTTATTCGTTATTTTTTTCTAGAAATTTTAATGTTTCGTATTAAGCGCAGAGATTATCACTATAAAATTTTAATCGTAATCACTTATTTTGAATACATCCCTGGTTAATTATAACTAATTGTATGTATGTAATAGCAAGTCCCTACTCTGTCTCCGTACGAAATTCCCCGTCTACGTCTCGCCTTATAAACATAAAGCATTTACGTGGAACACAAAGGCATCAGATATTTAACCCCCACGTTATTCGTTCGGAGCTCACAAAGCAAGCGCCATTCTTGTACGTATTATAATGAGTTACTTTGTCGCTTTACCTGCACCCTCGCAAGGCGCAATCGAAGTCTTTATATATAGCGCTATACTAGTCCACACTTGTTCCGTCGGGGAATTTGTTTAATCACGTAAATGGCTGCCCTAACATTATTTTTAAATCGATCGGTTGATTGATTTTTAGTAAATTTAATAACGCACCGTTTATTTGTCTTAATATACATACAGGCAAATAATAAGTTTGAATAAAAAAGGAAATAAAATATAAACAATTCTTAAGAAAGCTTAGCTCGGAAGTTACACTACACTGGTATGGGAAAAAATCACCACTATATCTCGTCTATATATAGTCTATACTATAGTCTCTATATAATGAAAACACTTGAAACTTTAAAACTAATTTCATTTATTAGTTCTGTCACAGTCGTCCTGTCAGTCCACGTCGTTAACCAATATTTAATAATTCAATAATCGTTCATTCGTAATTTTATTTTAATTTTAACTAATACAGCGGAAGACCAAAAAAATATCCAGATCGCACTCAGCGTGTGCCTTCGCAAAAACCCGTTGCTATAAACTGTGTCACAAAATGCCCGACCGCAACCCGCCAAGTGTCACTATCAGGTAATAAACACCATTGTCGAAACCGCAACACGTGTTTTGATCCAACATGAGACATTATTCAAATGGCTCCTGATAAGCTAAACAGCTGAGCGGACTGATAATGACTGATAAGCTATTCAAGGAATTGGTGTAAACAAATACTTTTCTCTCGTTGTGTTTTGACGCGACAGAGATCTTTTTTTAAGTGAGGATGTGGCATGCGAGCTGGTGGTTCACCTGATGTTAAGTGATAACCGCCGATTATAGTTATCTGCACCTGGTTGTAGATGCCTTCATAAAACAGTGAACCTCTGTAACGGGAAGGCAGAAGTATAAATATCACGCCGGTCTTCGCGAGGCCGTTATATTTCTTCGGACGAGTCTGCCCATTCGTTCAAATACAAAGGAATAGTTATTACTCATTCGTCTTCTTAAATAATATTCGTCGTTACGTATTTTCATTACTAACCTTTTAGATAACATCGGTATGAACACCCAAATATTTTAAGTAATCAAGAGAAGCATATTTTCAATCAAAGCAAAAAGAGTAGAAGCATAAAACGTGACTTAAACAGAAACCCTCAGCAGTTACGGCGTCGAAATAAAGGTTTTAAATCTAGTTCACGAAAACAAAGTTTGTAAATGTTGCATTTTATACGTCACGCGGTTGCTACGGATTTGATGTAACCAGAAAAATACACGTGAACTTTCGCAACGGATACCGTAATAAATATAACCGAGAAGAAAACATCATTTCTCTTCACAAACAACATCAGAACTTGGTTGTAGCATGATAGTGCAATAGTTATTTCCAACATTTTCTTAACGCAGAATATTTGTTGCTGAAATTTTAGATGTTTTTTTTATTTCAAAGCTCATCGTTGTTTCTTTTTTATTTATTTTCATTTGTTATTGATAAGAAGGTTTCATTTTAATTTGCCATTTTTAATAGAAATTGTGTTTAAAAAGATATAAAAAATATAATAAATGTAAAAATATATGTATACATGTTATATGAATAAGTAATGTTAAAGAGTTAATATTGAGATAATTCAATTCATTAGAAAAAGTTAAAAATTAACACTAGTAAAGTATAAATTTAAACAAAATACACCATATTTTTTGCAACACCATTTTCAAATGACATCTTAAATCACTCTCACAACTGAGCGTGATATAGGATATGTCAACTGAGGCGAATCTAATGACACCATATGTTTTGGAATCCGTCAAATGGATTAAGACTGTAGCCTAGAAAGTAGACATACATACACACATAAGGCTAACAGGCCAAAAAGACGTATTTATTTCTACATATATAAATCTTATTTATGCGTATATATAACGTATAGACATATAACAGTTTTGAGTAAGAATCGATTTTATGTGTCAAAAACACACTCAGAGGAAATTAATCACACGTTAGAACAGGAAAATCGTATTTATCTTTGAAGTAAAATTGTGTCAGTCGAGTTCTGCGTTATCGGTAGCAGGGCCTGGTTTCTATCGCTTGACCTCGCCAAGCATTGGGATGTTGCGCTGTTTTCGTTTAAAAACCATGTTTTATGTGTGTGTGTATATATATATATATATATGGCTGTGGCTTATTTATATATATATATATATATATATATATATATATATATATATATATATAAATAAGCCACTAGGCTTTACAAGTGGTAAAGTGTTCTTTTTTATGTGTGAAGGTGGCAAACGAGCTGGCGTTTCACATGAAATTAAATTACCGTCAAATATTGACATATGCAACACCCATAGTGCTAGGGTTGCAGAAGTATAACACTTCCAATTGACGACGATCTTCTGTGAGGTCGTGGACATACCCGGACGGAACTGCCCATTTGTGCAACAGAGGAGACTGTTGCATGGCCTTATTACAGTTATAGTTATGGAACTATTTCAGGATCATTATATTTTACTGTAAAATATGTGCCGCATATGTTAATTATTCGCGGGGCGGAAAAGTTATCCATAAAAAGCTAAAATTACAATTGTTCATCTTAGAATCCAATTAATAACATTGATATTTCGAGGGCTTTGAAAATACAGAAACAAGGAATACTTTCATTCGCATTTTTTATTAAATTATTAAAGAATGTTTGTATATTATCAGCAGGTCATGTCTTTTTTACGGTTATTTGAATTAATACGTCCAGGATAAAATACGCAGATCCGTCTTGTGGATGCGTGGGAAAAATTGCAACAGTCGCATGTCTAGTCCTTTGAGCGTTTCGAACATAAGACATTTGTGCACGTAGACGACGAAAAACTCTGATCAAATACTGTAGGAAATTCTTCCGTTTTCTATCTAAAATGTACTAGCAAAATATAAATACTTCTTATTAAATCCATTTCTGAAGAAATTATTATAAGCAGATGGAAAATATATGGATAATTATTTGTATTGGGTTGCAAAAATTTAATTGTTTTTATGCAAAACAACTTACATAACGAATAAAGTTTTGGCAAATGAACTTAAAATGAATCGCGTAACCAAGTTGAGTTTTTAACGAGTTAGGTGACGGAAGTAGTTATTTTTCATACGTTTTGAATAGTAAAAACGGAAACGTATTGTCGGGACCGTGACTCTTTAAATGACGGTTCTAACTCAGTTATTCGTTAACGCTGAATCGAAATACATATGTAAATATTGCAACGAAAAATTTAAACATACAGCACTTTGAACACAAATAAGAGAATTAGAAATTAAGATGATAGTCACAAGAACTTTCTAATATTATTAGTCTAAAGTTACTCTCCTATATTGAGAGCACTAGCCCTCCGCAACTTACACTTTAAAAGGTTTTTACGCGGCGTATCGCTTTCCTATTAACGCAATGGCGAGACCAATATCAGGGCGCAGTGCAAAAGGATAAAAAGGGAAATAAAGTAACTTGTATGGCGGGTCGGCTGCAAGATGCAGAAATCTGTGCGGGGCGTGGGCGTTGGTGAACCGGTCTAGACGAGATGAACTTTAAGGATCCGACAAAATAAAATAAGGCTCGCAACATCGCGACAGCCGCCGGGGGACGGCGCTCTTAATGGCCAATTCTTCGCCAGTTGCATCGGTCGGAAAATAATGGCCGCCTAGCAACGCCGTGTCCGAGAAGTGAATTCAGATCGGAGCTCACGTCCGAATGATGGGTTCGGTTGATGTCGGCCAAAACACAACGATGACGTCGGGCCGTATCGGAACGTCCGCGCCGCTTTGTTTCCGAACGCACAATGAACCCGGCGTGTGTAACCGCTGCGAATTCCCCGGTGAAAACCTCTAATTCACCCCGAGTGGACACAATTGGAAGAAAACACGAGAGAGGGCGACGCGGTGGATTAGATTAGCGCAGATAAGATTAGTGCCGTCGCAAGCGCGACGCAGCAGCCATGTGAACCACTAATTGCGGCCTGTGTCTATCTATCTGCGTCTACCAGCGCTATAGCTGTCTGCACTGCTGCACCGCGTCGCACGAGGAAGAAGGAAGGTAAGCGTACGCATCTAGGACCCCGCGAGACCTCGCTGCACGGACCTTCCCGCATATTTGTAATACGCAGCGCTGTAGAGCCGTCCTGCGGGCCGGACTCGGGCGGGGCTGCACCCTAATGCAATGATTCACATTATTCGGTTTGCGGGCGAGTTGAACGTCTTCCATTATTGTCATTCATCGGAGGAAGTGGGCGGCGAGGGGCGGCGCGGGTGCCGGCGGCGGTCCCCGCGCGGCACGGCGCTACTCAGTCGCCCGCCGACACTCTCGCTGTCAGTACGCGAGGGAGGTGATGCAAGTCGCGTACGCCTGACGCATACGTTCGTGTTCCGCGTGTGAGTGCCCACCGTGTTCCGAGGCCGGAGCCCCATCGAGCTGCGTGCAGTGCGCTAGCCAGTGCGGGCCGTTGGCTACGACGCGGGCTACAGCGTGTGCCACAGCGGCCACTTGTCGACGGTCGACACAGCTCAGTCTGCGGAGTCAGCTCGGCTGCCCAGCGCCTGCTGCCTGCGAACGCACGGTGAGTGCGTCCACTGCATGCACGCGCCAATCGACCGGCGCGTCTATTTCGAGGCGCTCGCGAATCCCGAAGTGACGTCTCTCCGACGCCGGGATGTTCCGCTTTTCGCGTGTCACGCGGGCCATCCGACGGGCGTGTTGATAAACAGTGTCGGCTTTCATCACCGCGGACCCGAGTACGGCGGTCGCGGGTGGCGCATCGAAACACCGCCGTGGTGCTCCGACTCGGCAATCAAAACACGTTCTTTCAGTGTCATGTGGATACTATACAATCGGCGATTGCCGTAATCGCGGCGATTGTTCTGCCGGCGATGTGTTCGTTGGCAGCGCCAGCTGACTTCCGCCGGTTCGTGATGTTGCGCAAAATGCACGGGCCGTTCCGCCGCCGGACGATACCCGGCGCGCGTTACAACGCATCCAATTCGAGAAATATCGCAATTGTGTCCCGAAAGTGGCCAGAACCGCACGATTATGAAACAACCGAACGCATACCTAACTTATTTCAGAGAATGTTATCTCTTATCAATCTGCTCTTGCGAAGGTCGCGCTGATAATTCGGCTGCGTTGTTAACAGCGAGGCATATTGGATGCTTTCTGCACGCTTGCATAAAGACATTGTACAAAACACCACTGCGATTATTCATTACAATATCATCAATGTCTTCTTTCATTTTAGCGTATGAAGTTTTAAAAGAGATTATTGTTCTTCGTTAGTAAATGTTTTCGTAATATTTCAGTCCATGTACGAGCTAACAAACGATGCACAATTACAGTGGAGGAAAAATGATTGAACAAATTTCTCATTATTTAATATTAATTATATTCTAATGAGTAAAATTCGGTCAATAAAATGCCGTTTGCCTTTGTAGTTTACACTAAACACTATGAATAACTTTTACAGAAAATTTTAATTATTTAAAAAAAACTTTGAATATGTAGTTTTTTTTTTTTTGGTATAGGCTTGAAGCCTATACTGAAGGTGGAGTAAAAGAAGAAATTTATAGCTAAATTCATTTCAATAAACTCTTGCAATATTTAATATAAGTTATTAAACTGCAAAATAAACGTAATGTTATAACAATATATTATGAACCGTTATTAGACTGTAGTAAGCGTTCAAATCTAAGTCTCGTAACTCATTTAATTATAATTTTCACTAAAACAACGTAAATAAGTATTTTAGTTATTTTGCTAACAATTGCGCTATGTAACCACAACAAATTGTATACACACATTATGATATAATTATTATATTTTTAACAATCATAATTATAAACTAATTCAAAGTTATTAAGGGTTAACAGTTTGTTTAAGCATCATTAACGTAATAATAATGAGAACATAATCTTGACATATTGATGAAATAACATCGGCTGAGAAGCATCACAAGGTAATTAGGTTAATCAAAACAAAATTCGAATTCGAAATTCTTGTAAGAATTACTTTGTTACTTATTTTTAACACTTTTATTTACAGATCGATAGTGCAGTTTTTTTTCTCAAAACAAATAATATATAAATATAACGTTATCCTTTAATCTTAATTAATTCAGCTTGAAATTGTTTTAAACGAAGAACGCTGATGTTTGGATAGAGATCTCTTACCACCAGGTAATGCTTACACGTTTACCCGTTCCTTCCCTGAAAAGGTCTGTTCTTGATCCGCAAAACATTTGGTAAGTGATTGTGACCTTTAAATAATTTAACACGACGGTTTTAGATCATTCAAATACCTGTCAGAAATAAAAATTAAAAGATACGGACAGATAACGAAACGTTTGCCTCCATTCTACACAATTAAAAAAAAACACAACCGAATCGGGTGAGTAATGGGCCCGACCATTGTCAGGCTATTCAACATGGAGGAATGTGTTCGGCGCATTAAGGACAAATAGTCTCCCGTATCTCTGGTACAAAAGAGTATTGACACTGCGAGATAAGCGTATCTGAGTGTACACTAATGTTGTAGGTATCTGCGACAGGCTTACACTCATTGTTCCGTTATCATATACGGTTAGCGCATTATGTATGGCCGATAAGCAAACTGTGCGCTCTGGCGGTCCGTGCGCGCGGTCATCTGAGGGAATGACGTCTTCTGTGAGATTTTGAAAACGATAAATTGCCCAAATTAGACAACTTTGGCACGCCTTGGACTTTCTGAGGCGTTACTTAATTTCGCTTAATGCGTTTTATGATACGGTTTTACCGAATTTATTGACTGAGCGGTCGTATTAAATCGTGCATGCATAAACTGTATGCACAAGAAATAAGTGGTGATATATTGGTATAACGCAGCTTTAACTGTGGTAGGGCCACGCAGCAGTTTCTAATCTTGCACGAATGGGCAGAATCATCCGGAAGTACCTGACATGAAGCGGTAGTCCTGTACTTTCGCGTTTTGTCTGATAAGTGAGGTAGATGAAATGTCCGTGGATGGTGGTTACGACTTAACTAGTCTGCTCGCTTGCAAAAATATTCAATAATTAAAATGAAATACCGTAATGACTGCTCCGACCTTGTGTTTAGATATCTGTATATAATTTTATGTCACATATTTTTTTTATTTTGGTTCTATCTCAAACTTTGATTTGTGGATGTAGCGATTTATAATAAAAAAGCAATGAGATCAGTTTACGCTTTTGTTATATATTCATTTAATTAGTTATTTCTCTTAAAAAAGCTAAGTTTTATAGAACAAGAACATTATTGAATAATAATATATAAGGCATTGAAAAAATGTTCTGTATATATTTTTTTTTAATACAATAGGATGCAAACGAATAAAGAAGAAATAAAATTGTAATAGAACCATAAGTTTTGGAAGTTGAGTAATGTAATTAATACATTTCAAGGCAGAGATTACAGCGTGACATTATTCTGTGGAATATCCTAACCATACACCTGCTACAAAGGTGTGTCCGTAGCAGAAAATTAATGGTTAATTGGTCTCGAGAGCGGATGTCCACAATTTGCAATTTTCGCTGCATCCTAACAGGTTAGCGTAGCAATTGTAATTTTCCGCTAGAGGTCTCTGTCCAAACAATAAATTTGAATAGTTTTTTTGGATATTATATTTATAACGGATAATTCGTTATTTTAACTACTTTTTCAATTACTCTTACTACTTTAAATTACCGTCGCATTCTTTATTATTTATTATTTATTGCGCTTGAAACATTTTTAAAATTTTACAGTAAGTTATCTGCAGTGAGGTGGAATATTAAGATGCTTTAGTTTATTAGTATTCGAGCAACTTGAGTTAAACTCTAAGTACCAGTACTAATCAATTTTAAGGTTAAATGGCGCAAATATGAGTCTTTATGTTCAGATTATGTATTTGTGCCATTTGCTGTTGAAACATTAGGTCCGTGGGGTCCCCGCACATCAAATTTTTTTTAAAAGTTTATGTCCTAGGCTTAACGCCGCGGCTGGTGACAAGAGAGCTGGTTCTTTTCTCGCGCAAAGGTTGAGCATAACTATTCAGCGAGGAAATGCAGCTAGCGTTCTTGGCACCATGCCGCGTGGATTAGGTTTATTAGATAATATGTAATTTTAGATAGATTTAATCTTGTAAATATTAGATCAATAAAGATTGTTATACCTAAAAAAAAAAAAAAAAAAATTTTAAGGTTTAAATCTAACAGTTTTTTTGCGCCTTATTAATATAAACAGGACGTAAATTCTAGGTTCACTTCCAGAGATGAACGCTCAACAATTATACTAGGTTATGTATAACTTGTTATTCGATGCTTATTACTTTAGATATCTACGGAAAATTTCTCTGGGGATTAATTATAAGTCTTCATTTTATTGCTACTACGGTTTGTAGTTAGCCGTCTCTAGGGGGATGATGGATTAATTATATCTCAAATTTTATAAGTAGTTCGTAAGATTTTGACATTTTTCATTGATAGGATTTAAATCATAATGTCAGTGGACAAACTGTAATTAACAGTTTTTTTTAATTGCTTCAAACACATATTGTTAACGAAAACGTTATTGTGTTTCAATTATAGAAACTTGAAAATCTAGATCCACTAGCACCACCAATTCAACGTTATCTTCACCGGATGATAGTATCGATCGATCGAAAATTTGACGCAAAGAACGGCGTTTGCGTCAAGAGCACAGAGCTGCAGCAGTAGTCACAGAAAAACAAATCAGGTAACATTTGCGTAAGATTGCAACTCTAATGACAGAGAAGCAGTAAAAGCTTCGAGTGGATGGTCGCGTAAGAATGCCGCGTAAGAACGGGTGACATCCCTAGTTACAGAGAATCGATGTAAATTTCTAGCGAAATTCGCGTCCGCTCAAAGCAAAGCGTCGTCGGCATAAAGGCACGCCAAGGGAGCAGCCCTGGCGCGGCGTCGCGGTGCGTCGTTCGTTCACTCCGAGGCTATATTTAGTGGCGGTGCGCGGAATGCAGTCCGCCCGGCGCTGACCTACCACAACACCACTGTCACAGTTTCGGCGCACGCACAGCCTGCCCCCGCGAGGGTGCTTCCACGCAAATTGCGCGCAATTCCCGAATCGTTCAACAACGGTGGACGTTCAAATGCTCAATAAGTCTTTATACTACTAATACTGTATACGTATTGTGCACACACACATACATAATCGCCTACAGCCACAGCTCGAAATTGACACATATCGATCATCTTCTCCTAAAATTCTTTTTAACCGATTTCAATATAGAAGGAGGTTGTAGAGGAGTGGATCTATTTTCAATATTTTTTATTTGTTTGTTTGAAAGAAAAGGTGTCTATTATATTCACGAATTCCCATATCAATTTTTCTCATCAAATGGACAATGTATAGTGAGCGACATATTTGAATGCAGTTTTGTTTTTTCTTAATAACAATATTTTACATATATTCTAATCAGAACATAAACTTTACAATCCAAGATTTCGTTTGATTCATGTGGAAAAAGCTATTAGCATAACGGCAGAAGTAGCACTCTAAATTAGAACACAATGTTAAATGAAAATCTTTAAAAATTATTTATGGTATCAACATTTGTACTTTCGTAAAACTAAGTTGAATCTCCCTTTTATATTTCATTACAATAAGCAATCCGTTTATAAATTTATTACATTTAAATTTATATTACTTGGAGTGATGTTATTCGATCAATGTTACAAAAACGATATTTAACATGTTTGTTTACATGTTAATTAAAAAGAGCTACGCGCTTACCCGTTTGACAGAAAAGCTATTTATATTTTAACGAATATTTCGTCATAGATCTAATATGAAAAGAATTCATATTGAATCGAACCTTTTTGCTTTAATAAATCAACCACTTCATGTCACTCCACAACATGTTGCAATTTTTTTTCTGACATTTTTATATGATTTATGAACTTCTCACCTAAGCTTTACTTTTATTGCTCAAAAATGTCTATAAATTTAATCACTAACCTAGAATAGTAAGAGGTAACGTATTCTTTATGACTATCATTTTGACGCATAACCCGGTCCCAAGTAATTGCAATAAAAAATTCTAATTATTGTTTTAACTAAGATTTATTGGTGTTTTTCCACATTTAAAAATAGGCGTTTCTTAATTCGCACACCCTAATTCGGTTCATTAAAAACACATAAAAAATTGTGAATGAATGTGTCCAACATTTTAATAAAAGCAGAAACAAGATTGATCTGTCAATGGAGATTATGCATAGTGTTTTGCATTTGCATTTAAATTTTGAAATTTTCAACAATTGTGTAATTCGAAAATAGTCTCATTATTGCCCTTATTTCTTACTCGGCCAAACATAAAATTTTCTTCTAACGCAGCCGGATGTCGGACAAAGTTTCCTTAATCGGCTCCACGTATTACATAAAATGAAACAAACATTGTGCCGCGATCTGTGAAAATAGTCAATAAAATACTAATAAAGAGTAACGAGTTGGAATGGACCGCCTACGCGTAATGGTCGCTTTCGCCCCATACCCTCCATAGTTGTTAGGCTATATTCAATTCAACGTTATTGCACAAGTCACTCCCGTGGCTTTGTTCGCCTGACTTATGGGATTCGAAATTCAAATCGGACGCATCGAAGTTCGTATAAATGTAATCACATTAGAAGAGAGATCGAATATGAATTTATTCTTGGTGAGCCATTTTAGCTGGTCTAATTTTGATGGATTATAGATTCCGATTGATGATTTTTTTACATTTGATAGCAGGATTTCTTCGTAATTAATCCATTTTTGATTATATATCCTATTATTGATTTCTGAAACGGTAACGATTTAAACTAACGTCAAGTGAGTAATGATTGTATGGCTGACGGCAGTGTATCGACAATCACACACGTTCTGTCTTCGCGGGTAGTTGATACAAATCGCCAGGAATATTCGCCTTGTAAAACTTTCTATGGGGATTCGGTTCAATGGAACATATGAACTCTAAAAGTTGATAAATGGCAGCTTATTGAAGTGGTTACTCTTTTTGAACGTGAACTGTAGAAGGCCGATAAAAAAGAATGTTACCTATCAATAAAACACTTTAAAAACGTTTACTTTGTCGAACAGTCGATTGGGACCGTGCCGGAAAAGAGACAAGAAGTATTCGAAAATAGATAATATATGTAATGCAGACCTAAAGTTTACTAATCAATATGACCGTGCAATGGCATAGGGCTTAGAAAAAAGTATGTGAATGTTTTCAGTAAACCGTCCATTATGAAAATGTGATGTGTTTGGAAAAAAATGGACAGATGCTTGGTTTAACTACGACATTAGGACGATAAAAATAATTCACATTTCCCAAGATCTTGATCTAAGTAATATAAATATATTATAGGAGTAGTAATATAAATATATTATTATAGGGATTTTTCTCTTTCTCATTCATTTTTCTCTTTCATTCTTTAACTTCACGTGACTCGTGATTATTTAAAGACACTGGTAAGGAAATAATTGTAAGACGCGTATCCGAATATGATCTTGGTTGTTGCAGTCTTGTTGCATTTGAACACTACAACAAGAGAAAAACCAGGTAACTCTGTTAATAATGTGTTTGTGGGTTGTACATAATTATTTAAAGGTTATGGTAGTCAGCATCAGAAATATAATTTAATCCGAGGGTTGACAATGCACGTAATCGATCTTGTAACTTAAAAATAACAGCGTACTTATATATTCTTAAAGATTCTTTATATTTTAAATAAGCAATAATTTAATATTGTGAGCACCTTTACGAACTTGCTTTTCATAGGCTAACCCATTTATGGATAGTTCTTCTTTTTATTTAACTTTAAATGAAAAACTTTGCGCATAAAGTCTTGATCCAAATTATACTTGACCGTGTGAAACCGTGCTTCAACGCTCTCAACATTGTAGATTATAGATGGGAACCGGCGTTTTACTTCTCTAATTTTATGAAAACTGAAGACACCGGTATGAGCATACAGTAGAGAATGTTTTGTGTTCAACATTAATTAACTAGTTCTGCTGAATATGAACGATCTGTTAGTTACATCGTATTCACATATAACATTGAACTTAGTAAATTTTAATGAACAAAAGAGACTTCAAATATCTAACTCAATAAACACTTTTTATCTGATTTCGAGGAGTTTCTTGATAATATTGATATTTTTTTATCTTGAAGTATATACAATTTTTATTGATCTAATATTTACAAAATTAAATCTATATAAAAATTAATCTAATATACTTGAAATTAATATGTCCACACTGGAGCTCAATCGAACCCAAAACCAGAAGAATTTACGAAATCGGTACTTAAATAACGGCATTCTGAGGTTACCAACCATTAACAAAAATAAAACCGAATTGGGGAAAAAGCGGCTTCAATTTGAAATGGCGCTTTCGTGTAGCGCTACATGGAACGCCAATGTAGAGCGTGTAGGTCTAAAAGGGATTTGCGGGAGAGCACAGCCCTAAGTAAATGCTGATAGTCTGTCTGCGCCGCTCTCGGGGAGCGTCGGCCGATGTGGCGCCGGCTAGGTCAGACAGTGCTATTAGATCCCAGATTGATCGGTACTCGGTCGCCCTCCCCGCATCCTATAGACGTCTTTATTTACTGCCGCTAACTGTGTGTCTAGCGTGACGTAACCCGGGCGCTTTTTACGTACGGCTTAGGTCTTTATATAAGGCTTCCTCAGCCAGCCGACATAATTAAAATCTTTTGCGCCGCCTCCGCCTCGTCCGAGCGACGTTTTGTTATTAAAATGCCTCGCGAACTACAGCTAGCCACGTATGGTCCATGTATCGTGGCGCAGTAAACGTCTGTGCATTCGTTTTTGTGCGCTTAACTATTCAATTATGTATAATAAAAGTAAAACCCTTGACAAGTATAGTAGTTCTTACACGGTGTTATATACATTTGTAGATTGTGTTATAAGTTATCTTGTCTTATATTATTTATAATGGAAAGTCATAATATATATCTATTTAAAAGACTAGGCTTTCAGCCTTATATATATTCACAAGGATTTTTGGCATGATCTCAACTTCAATCTTTTTATTCATGATATTTATGTATGTTCCCCTTAACTTAGTCTACATGTATAAATCATCAGACTGTGAGCACTTTAGGCTTTACATACATATTACTAACATTCTTTTCTTAATCATTCCGATGAGTTTGGTTTTGAGATGAAAGTTTGAGTCTCTTTAGTGTATATCTCTCAATAAGGATGTAACATAATACTTTTAATGTGCGTTATGTTCCCTTGCACTACTTCAGTTTATGTCACGTACACAAAAACTGTCACGTGGCACATTACAGTTTATTTATTAATTGTACTGATAACGCGCGTATTGCAAAGTTACGTTATGTGACAGTTCAGGTAATGGAGTAATTGACGTCACAGACCTGCCACGTAACACTTTGTTAGCCATTATCGAAGACATTTGTTAGAATTTGCGATAAAACAAACGGCGCGAGGAGCGTAGATAAGGAAATTGGTGTACCGAACAGCACGGTTGAGTTTTTTGTAGTATTTCCCACGTTATTGTCTTTTAAATATCATGGAAAGGCATTCAATTATAGTGAATTTAGAATAGGACCTTCAGACATACCTTATTTTAAAACACATTTAAATGTATGCTTAGTTTGCCTGGAATAATATTGATAAGGTTTTTTTTTGATGACGTTAAGTACCTATGAAGCCCTCCTAGGTCGTATTAAATCTCTCTTGAGTGTAATCTAACATTTGATATAGTCCCCAATTTATGTATAATAAATATCGACGCTCTGTTGGTATCTTTGACGTGTTTGGACTTCCTTCCTTTAATTTCTGCATGAGTTGTGTCGCTCTTATCTACGCAAATTGCAGCATATCTGCATCAAGGCCTCGCTCCGTGATCGCTTCCAACAGCACATGTTTATTATTAGTTCCTATATCTACGAGTGTCTCGTGCATTTTGTATCGAACGCAGAGTAACTGCCGTTTTAAATATTGATTTGATTCTGTCAATCCTCATAAGCCTTACAAGATATCCAGATGTCATCTGTTAATATATATTAAGGAATTAAATGTGGATAGAAAGAATAAGAGGACTAATTAATATATTCATTATACAAA